GGGGCAAACCAAAAGACTACAAAAATTCAGGTAAGAGGAATTTTATAAGGAAAATTGCAGTGTGCCGAATTTCTCAGTGGGAAAATCTGCAAGCATTTCCCTTTTGGATGTCTCTCTTTGGTAGTTTTATTTCCATTTTTTATTTTCTGCTTATAGAACAGCCTACTGCCCATATATTTATGAAAATTTCTAGTCCATTTTCTGCATTAGTATCTATCCCATGGATGCTAAGGTCTCTATTTTTTTGGTTGATGAGATCTAAAGTTTGACCTTTTGGCTCAAATTTATGGCACTCTTCGTTTGTGCTAACATTGGAGCAATAAAGTTGAAGCTATAAAATAAAAATTGCTATCCTATTGAATGTTGCTAGGTAACAATTTATCCAAATGGAGGGTATAAAACCTTTATTAGCAATAATTTCTGAGAGAGATTTAGTCAAAATTAAGCCTCTAACGCATGGCTGCTAAGCTGAGAACTTTTTTGCTGTTGTTTGATTGACTCTGTTGTTGAGCTTTGTTTCATTGGATGTAACTGGTTAGGTTTGTACTTAGTAGACAAAAGCAAAGCTCAAATATTTGTTTGGTGCAGAAGAGGAAATAAATCAAAGAGCAAGGAGAGCTGCTGCAGCTGCTCGACGATGGAGGGAATACTCTAGAAAAGGTGTTGATAAGCCTCCGACATATAAACTTCCAGAAACAATCGCCAACGAGGAAAAGTGAGTCAAATACACTTTAGCATTGTGGTCATGTAAATGTTATTTAATTTATCCATTTAGAATTCCATTGAATATCCTCATTGTTCTTTTTCATCACCTAATCATGTACGACTTATATTTCATCCTTGAACTCTGTATATATGACGAAAGTAATTATACGAAATATAGATATAATTTTTTACAAGAAACATGGAAGCTCATCCTGTTGTTGCCCTGAGTTTTCAGTGGTGGTTGCAAAATACTCTCTTAGTTGCGCTGCGTTGTACTCCCCTTCGGGTAGTTTGCTTATTTCACTGATCTAAAGTAAGAAACAGCATTCCCTCAGGGTCAAACCCTAGTTTGTTAAAAGATAAAAGGTCAAGGGACATTTTGGTAATTTCACTTTTGCATATTTCTGAGAGAGATTTAGTCAAAAGTAAACCTCTAATGCGTTGCTGTTGCTGTTAGGTGGAGAACTTTCTAGCTGTTTTTTTTTTTTTGATTGCTTGTGTTGAGACTTTGATTGGAGCTAACTGGTTAGGCTTGCATGTAGTAGGCATAGAACTCAAAACTGATATATCTGGCTGGAGCAGATACTACAAATCTCTGCTTTGGCTACCTAGCTGCTATTGTATGTCATATAAATACATAAGTATGTTTATATATAGATACCTTGAAGCATGAAAATATAAGAGAATGGAGTTCTGCGAGATCAATCTTCATTCAAGGTTAAAACTCACAGAACAAACTAATCACAATGAACGAGAGATCATGTTGAAATGCAAGCTTAGTCTTCTCAAGTTGTTTTTTTTTTTTTTTCTAATTTCATTTTTCATTGATCTATGAAGTAATCTAACATTCAGGGTGGATAACAATACGATGCTACTGTGCTTTTAGTTTCTTCTTCTATTTCTACAACCTATTGTTAGAAAATAGTTACATAGACCAGAAAATAGAATAAGAATCCTCAATGATAAGTGTCGTTGCCAATGTTTAGTATCAAAAAGGAAAGCTAGAAATCCCACTATGAAAATTCATGACTAATGGCAAACACTAAAAGGAAAAGCTTAGGGCTCGATGATGACTGTCTAAATCCTAATGCTAAACACAATGTAAAAAGTCCATGATGCAACTTAGATCGAAGGCAAACAATGAAGTCAAAAGAGTCATATGAACTCAATGATGAATGTTTAAGGACGCGTAGATGAAGAGGGTCCAAAATGTACAACTACAAGATAGAGGAAGAACCGAAGCTTAGCCTTGACAGGACATTAATGGGGGAATCCTAACTACCAACTTGAAGGCCACCATCTTTATTCTATCTACTCTATTTATGACATGATTAATCTTTCAAATTCCACCTCATCACAATCATAAATAGTTTTATTATAAAAGAAAATATATATATTTCAATAATTAATTAATATATAAATATCAATAATAATATAACTAATGATACCATAACTTTTTAGTAAGTACACACCATATGTACAGTCTAATTTGAAGTCACGCCCTCATGTAAAATGATGGAAACGTCGTCTAAAGAATGATTGATAATTAATAGTTGATTATCAATATTTAAATTTTTTAATTAATTATTATTTAATTTAATGGTTAGTTTATTAAATTTTTTTTTTTATAAGAGATTCATTTAAATATTATTTTTATTATTATTATTGATATATGTGTATTATTTAATTAATAAATGTGTCAGTTTATTTATAAAAAAAAAAATCTAAATCTTCTTACTCTTTAACCGCTTTATTATTTTTAGTATTTGAATAAAGTATTTTGATCAATATTGGATATAAAGAACAACTTTATGATTTTTTTCTCAAACTTAAATCTTTAATAAATTAAATTTATGTAATTTTTACATGGATCGTTCTAAGAATTCGAAAAGAAGAAAACTTCAATTACTTGATCTAACTTTGTCTAATGAAACTTAATATAAATTTATTTCATTATATCACCATCTTTCCCAAAGATTCTCTAGTAACCCTAATAATTTTTCAGAACCTCTATATGCAAACGAATGCCTTCGAATGAAAACCGTTGTTGTTGAATAACGTGGTTAGTATCATGTTCCACGAAACATATATCAAATTCAAATTATTAGAAAAATTACCATAGCCTTTTGCAATAGCCAAATTTTTATCTTCCTTACAATAAAAGAACATGAGTAGAGGTTTATATAATAAGACTCATAACTCTTATGAACTATAACCTTATTAACCTATTTCACATTCAAATTTTTTCTCTTCTTAGTTTTCAAAAAAAAAAAAAAATTGATGGTTATATATGTTAGTTCGATTTAGCTCCATTCATTACCTGTTCACTAGTTCGATTTATTTTAATAATTATTAGATATGTAATAATCAAATAATAACATAAAATCTGTATATTAATTTAAGTTAATACACATAAATAAATAATTAATTATATGCCATGAATTTATTTACATTTATTAGGTCATATAACTTAAACACATCACTGAAATACATAAAATAAAAAGAATTAGATTAAATTAATTTTTTAAAAAAAATTGATGTAGTTCTATATGGTAGCACTTACACCAACAACTAACCTCTATATATACATATATATGATGAGATAAGATGATTTGCCAAATGGGTATTTTTTTTAATGATGAAATAAAGATGATTTGCCAAATGGGTCTGTATTTTAATGATGAGATATGATGATTTGCTAAACGGGTAATTTTCTACTACATGTTAATGTATGTTAAAACTTTGATTTCTCTTTTTAAGTTATAATTCAAATAAATGTGAGAAGAAAAACCATTGATTCCAAATGGGTACTTTGGATTCATGAATTAACATGAACACACGAGATGGTATTTTATTTTTGAAACTTCAAAAAAAAAAAAAAAAAAAAATTGAATCAAGAGATGCCCATGAATATAGAAAGTATTGAAGATATACTGACAGTTGAGTATAAAAAGGAAATAGCAGTATTGTAATGGTGTATTGCACTTGCATGGGAAAATACCTTTGATGAATCATATATTCTTTTCAATGAAATCCAAGGGAAGAGCTTTGTCTTGTTGGACCTCGCCAATTCCTATCTTCTCCTCCCTTCCCTTATCGCGCGTGTGTGTGTGTATATACATACAAATATATATGATTCTTATCAAAAGTGGAGTTCTTGACATTCGGCACATACAAACACAAACGTATTAAAATTAAAAATAAAGAAAAAAGAAGCAAGAAAAAGGAAATTATCTAACAGTGGATGCAACAGTATGAGCCCAAAACCTGAGATGATCTTTCATGTCCACTTCATTTCCCTCAGCTGGAAATCTCCAATTTCTCAATGGCTTCCTCACTATTCCTTTTCTTTTATCCCCCCACGCCTCCGATAGATACGGCCTCCTAACCCTAGAATTTGTCTCTTCTTCTTCTTTTTCTTCTTCTTCATTTATTTCCACATTGTTGCTCCTTCCCAATCGCTGTAACCCTGGAATTATAGAAACTAAGCTTGAATCCATGTCTTCCGCAGAAAAAACAAATCCTAGATCCATAAATCCCTTCACCTCCTCAAACTCCAAATCCGATAAGCTCTTACTACTTCCTTTCCTTCTCCTCCTCCTCCTTTCTCTCTCCACTTTTTCCTTTATAATTTCCACCTCCTCCGTCACTTCTTTGCCAGAAAGTATCGGTTGCAGCTTTTGCATCCTGAGAACCGAGTTTGGCGATTGAGAATCCGACGAAAAGCTCGCTCCGGAGCTTAAATTATGGTCGCTCAGAGACCTTTGATGCTGGATTGGTAAACGACGAAACTCTCTATTTGCTTCTTGTATAACTCCTTGGTCGATTTCAACCGCTGGATTTACTTCTTCCTGTTGCTCTAACGGTGATTTCTGATCTGTGAAGCTCGCTTGTCCAAACCAATACATATCGAAAAGACCTAGAATTTTTTCCGCAGCCATATTGCGTTGGAGAAGTAGAAGAAATGAGAAGCTTGAAGAAGATGATTTGAGGGAAGAGGAGGAGATACTGAATTTATAGGAGGTCAATTTACAGTAATACCCCTGATTTCATGTTAATATTACGGTTGTGTGTTATCACGTGTATGTTTAATTAATACACTCTTTGTTTTAAATTAGCAAGCCATCTTATATGACTTTTTCAACCTTTTAATAATAATTTTTTTGAATCATATTATAATAATAATTATTATATAATTACCCTTATGTTACATATTGTTGTAATGAAGTAATAAAAGGTAGTATAAATATATTTTTATTGTTTAATAGTTAAAATTTTTTATATTTTATTTGAACCTCACAAATTTAAACTTTATAAAAAATATAAAATTCGTTATTTCGTAAATATATTATAAGTTGATGGTAACTGATTTATAATATTTGATTTAATAATATTCAAAACTTAACTCACTAATGTAATGTATTTGTAGAATTATCATGACTAAATTAGACTTAGTTTCAATAAATTTATTATCTTTTTTATAAATAAATATTTTGTGATAATTAAATTCACATAATTAGAATTAAAATTAGATTTAATTTTTTTATTAAAAAAATAATAATAAATGTGACTGATTTATAATGTTTGATTCAATAAAATTAAGAATTTAATTCACTAATGTGTTGGCGAGACTGTCATGACCATAATTTTAATAAATTTATTATCGTTTTATCAAATAAAAATTTTGTGATAGCTAAATTCGTATAGTTAGAATAAAAAATTGAATTTTAATTTTTTATTAAAAAATAATAATAAATGTGACTAGTTTATAATATTTGATTTAATAAAATTAAAAATTTAATTTATTATCGTATTGGTAGAACTTTCGTGATTAAATTGAATTTAATTTCAATAAATTTGTATTTTAAAAAAAAAAAATATTTTGAGGTAACTAAATTTATATAATTGAAATTAAAAGTCTGACTTAATTATTTTAGAAAAAAATAATAAAAAATGATGATAATATAATATAATATAATATATACTCGTTAACACGTAATATAAAATTTACAAGTTGGTCAAAGAAACGTGGTAAATATGTTGTGAAAGTATTTTTTTATATTCATGCACACGGTTTAGATTAGTTATGAGACGGTTGTTTTTTTATTATTATTATTATTATTTTTTTTGGAAATCTCAATACGAATAAAATTAAATTTATAATTTTGATACCTTAAAAAAATTTATCATAACTATACAATTAGCTTAAACTTACAGTAATAGATATGTTTAATATTTTTAGAAATAATATATGGTTAGCTTAGATTTTAAAAAGTCAATTCCACGTGCACCTAACTTAAAAATATTGTATTCCCACATGGGGAGATATATATATATACATATATATATGTACATATATGTAAACACGTGTTGACTAATGTGAAAAGAAAATAATAAAAGAGAAAAATAAAACTTCATTATATTCTAAAGTAGATATCCTAATTTTCCACACTTATTGTAAATTATAAATAATTAATTTATAATATTTAATTTCATAAATTTATAGATTTATTAATAGTATGATATAATTATAATATGTCTCTTAACATATCTAAATAAAAATAATAATTAAATTTTCTTAATTAAAGTAATTACTATAATTAAAAAATATTATTTTATTGTGTTAATTATTTTATAACCAAATTTATTTTCTTAATTTCTCTTTAATCCAAAAAGTTTAAATTAAGTGAGGATGGTTTAAATTTTAATTTTAATTTTATAAAATAAAATAATATTTTCATTTCAAATATTAATTTTGTATTTAATTTAAATTAACTATTTTTCTGATGCATTCTTAATGGATAAGATTACAAAATATATTATCACATAAATAAAGAATATAAATATAATTAATTCAATTATCTATAAATACTATAATTAATTTTGCAAATTAAATAATTAAATGAAAATAGAATAATGTAATTAATACACCGGATTAGTAATTATGATTAGTAAGAAGGGCTTTTTAGTAATTAAGCAATTTGGCACCTCGAATCTATAGATGCTCATAATATAAAATGGGCCCCAACAATATGTATATATATAGTTGGGGAATCATATTCATATCTTTTTTTTTTAATATATATATATATATACATATATATATATTTTGACCCCATACTCAGCCAAGAGTCGTCCCCCCTTTCTTCTCTTCACTATTTCACCAAATTACATGTGTCCCACCATTTTA